GTTGTGTATTGTTACAAATAAAATGAATAAATAAAATGCACTATAAAAAATCTCTCCTTAGAAATGTTCTATAAACAGGGATCCTGCAGATCCTTAAGTCTTAAAAGGCATTGAATTCATCAATCCAAAAATAAGGCCTTAATTAGCATTAAAATATCTTAAATCAATCTTTCAGAGGTCTTAAATATGTTAACACATTGAAAGTAGGATGATTGTAATTTGTCTCAAACATTAAAATAGTATGCAGCACTTATTTTTTTAAATAATTTACAGAATGCCTCTCGCAGCTCATTTTATGTTAAAATAAATAATTGGCTAAAATAGTCACAAACCTGTTTTTTTTTCTTTTACATTTGTGTTTATTGTGAAGCTGGTCTTAAATTTAATTTCAAGTGGCATAAAAATGTAACTTGCTTTAAGCTGTAGGAACCCTGATGTGTAATTCTTGGGTAAAGATATGGTCTTTTATTTTTAACCAGTTAATTGTCACCAGTTGATTTGTCTTTTACCATTGTGACATAAAAATGAAAGAATAATTTCTTTGATTTTCAGGTGAAAATGAGGTTCTGGAGGCTCTGCAGAAGATCGCATCAAAGAATAAAATTTGGAGGTCCTACATTGGGATGGGCTACTACAACTGCTCTGTCCCACCACCCATCCAGCGTAACCTGCTGGAGAATGCTGGCTGGTGAGTACCTTCAGGTGACTGGAAATGTGAAATTAATTTGAGCTGGTTTCTTGTGATACGATCACATGTAACTAGCTATGTTTAATTACAAGCATCGTTGTTGTAGTTGAGAGTAACGTGCCTTTAATCTGAAGTCTTGTGACTCGACTCGTTTGAGAACCGATGATGTGCTTCTCTCCAGTTTTCTGCTGAACAAGATCTCCTTTCACCCAAATCCAACTCTGCTTCCCTGCACACGTTTAGTTTTTTTCTGAACTTGGTGGACTTGAACAGAAATACAATGCATTCCTCTGAACCGTCTCGCTTCCTTGATTAACAACAACTTTGTCCCTTTGTCCGTGTGTCCTCGTAACTCGTCCGGCTGATTCATTGAGAGTTTTGTCCTCAGGGTGACTCAGTACACGCCTTACCAGCCTGAGGTCTCCCAGGGTCGCCTGGAGTCTCTACTCAATTATCAGACCATGATCTGTGACATCACAGGCATGCCTGTGGCCAACGCTTCGCTGCTCGATGAAGGAACAGCTGCTGCTGAGGCCATGCAGCTCTGCCACAGGTACCCAAACACCGACCTGATGGAAGATTTAAAGAAAAAAAGAATTTAACTWGTTTATATGAGGCGTCTTGGTCATAAATGATTTTATCATTTGTTATTCTCCACAGACAGAACAAAAGACGGACATTTTACATTGACCCACGTTGCCATCCCCAGACCATTGCCGTGGTGCAGACCAGAGCCAAGTATGTATTACAAATCATAAAAGAAGCAAAAAACATAATTTTCTCATGGTTCAACTTTTGTGCTTATTTCTGGTTTCATGGGGCTTTAACTGTTTTGCAGCTACATTGGTGTGAAAACTGTGCTGAAGCTGCCTCACGAGGTAGACTTCAGTGGGAAGGATGTGAGTGGCATCCTCTTTCAGTATCCAGACACTGACGGGAGGGTGGAGGACTTCACTGCCCTCGTAGACCGTGCGCACAAGGGAGGGGTAAGAGAGATTTCTCAACATAAAGCTGCCACATAGTAGAAATGTGTCTTTTATGTTGGAATCTCATCGTCTCAAGTCACTCCAGTAGCTAAAAGTAAAGTTTTACGCCGACGACACGTCTGTATATTTTCCTTCCCGTCTTGTCCAGGCCATGGCTTGCTGCGCCACAGATCTGCTCGCCCTCTGCGTGCTGCGGCCCCCAGGAGAGTTCGGGGTCGACATCGCGCTGGGCAGCTCCCAGAGGTTCGGAGTCCCCCTTTGCTATGGCGGCCCACACGCTGCCTTTTTCGCCGTCAAAGACAACCTGGTCCGGATGATGCCTGGCAGAATGGTTGGCGTCACCAGGTGAGAAACAGATTTATTCTTGACTATAACTTTATAGAATAAAACTCTTCTCTGAGATTTATTTATTTATTTATTTATTTATTTATTTATTTATTTACTTACTTACTTACTTACTTACTTACTTACTTACTTACATATATTTTTGTTGATGTTTCAGGGATGCAGCTGGTAAGGAAGTGTATCGTCTCGCACTGCAGACCAGAGAGCAACATATTCGGAGAGACAAGGCAACCAGCAACATTTGCACTGCACAGGTATGACCAGATTCACCCTGTAGGCATGTGTTTTTTAATGAAAGTGTAAGAAGTAAAGCATGCCCTAATAAAGTTTTATTTTGTAGGCTCTACTGGCCAACATGGCGGCCATGTACGCTCTGTATCATGGTCCTCAGGGTCTCCAACACATCGCTGAGAGGACACACAACGCTGCTCTGATCCTTGCAGAAGGTAAATTTTACTTTTTTTTTTTACCTGACAAAATTTGATCAGTCCAAGAAGCTACGAATGATCTAATAATTATTTAACAAATATAGAAAAATTAAGTTATCTTGTTAAGTTATTTTATTCTTTTCCAGTGATGCCACTAAAAGTTGTTTCTGTTTTTTAAATTTTCTCTCAGAGCGTTAAAGTAAACAACAAAAAACAATGGCTTTGCTTGAATATTTAAGAAAAAACAGTTCATATCTGTGAAGAAGTTTATACTTAGCTGTTAATTTGGTTGAATGTTTTAAAAATAAGTATTTACAGTGAATGGAACGACAGTCATTGGTTACTGAGCTGATAATATTGAATCATTTTATCGTTGAATATCAAATAGCTGATTAATGCACTTAAATGACATTCAAGCACATTGTTTGCTTATTTTTTTAATTGATAGACTTTATTCATTTCTTTAAAAACAAAATAAATTCTACGTGTAAGTAAACTTTATTTTCTATAGCACCTTTCACCGACACAAACCTCACAAAGTGCTTAACAGAGAGCAAAATAACTAAAAACAATAAAACAGATCACAAATATAAAAAACAACAATTAAAACACAATAAAAAGCACATTACTAAAAGGCTGTCTGAATAAAAATGTATTAAGATGTCTCTTAAGAGTCAGAAGAATCTGAACAGCAAAGGGACAGAGGGAGAGCGTTCCAGAGCCTCGGGGCCACCACCTGAAAAGCTTTGTCTCCATGGGTTTTATAATGGGTTTGAGGGACCACCAGCAGCATTTGATTAAGACCTCAAAGTCCTGGATGGACAGAGAGGCTTCAGAAGGTCCARTATGTATTTGGGGGCCTGACCATGAAGTGCTCTGAAAGTTGAAACCAAAATTTTAAAATGACTCAAATGCACAGGGAGCCAGTGCAGAGAGGCTAAAACARGTGTAACGTGGGCTCTCCTGTGGGTCTTTGTTAATAAMCTCGCTCCAGCGTTCTGCACAGACTGAAGCCGAGCCAAGGAGGACTTGTTTAAACATGTAAAAAGGCTGTTGCAGCAATCTAAATGAGACGAAATAAAAGCGTGACCAACCATCTCTAGTTCATTCTGTGACACAAAAGATCTCAGCTTTGAATTTTCCTTAAACGAAAAAAAAAAAGAAAAAAAAAAACAGTTACGAACTAAAGTTTTACAATGGCTGTCAAAAGACATAGAACTATCAAAGACAACACCCAGATTTCTGAGACTATTTTTCACTGAAGTGGTTAAAAAAGCAAGGTGCTGCCTGATTACAGGGCTTTTATCATCAGGGGCGATAATAAGAGTTTCAGTCTCGTTTGCATTTAACTGCAGGTAGTTGTTGTTCAGCCATATTTTGACTTCTGACAGACAGTTAACGAGTTCAGATAGTTTGAAGAACTCAGAGGGTCGAAAGGAACAGTATAACAGTATGTCATCAGCATACAGATGGTATGACACATTATTGTAAAGTTGTAAAATGCCTCCTAAAGGGTACAGGTACAATAAAAAGAGGATTGGAACTAAAACTGAACCTTGGTGTACCCCAGAAGACAGCGGTGCAACATCAGAGTAAACCTGATTCATAAAAACAGTAAAAGCCCGTTCAGATAATTAAGAGGTGAACCAGTTTAACACAGAGCCAGAAATACCAAAATTATCTCTCAGTCTGTTGATAAGAACAGAGTGATCCACAGTGTCAAACGCTGAAGTTAAGTCCAATAAAACCAGCACAGTGTAGTTTCCAGAGTCAGCTGCCATCAAGCTCAAAAAGTAAATCAATTGTTCAGCTACCACCTTCTCAAGGATTTTTGATAAAGATGGTAGTTTGGAGATCGGTCTGTAGCTTTCAGGCACAGAAGAGTCCAAATTGGGCTTTTTTTAACAACAGCTGTTTTGAAGCAGTGGGGTACAGAACCAGAACCAAGGGAGTGATATTTTTTTGAACAGGGTCTTTTTATTACATTTTTTTTAACACAAACAGCAGAAAAGAACAAACTAACAAAAACACAGAACAAAACAAAACACACACCCCCAAAATCCCTCCCATCCCACCAAGGGAGTAATTTATCAGCTTTACAACACTTGGGCCAATATTGTTAAAATATCTTTAAAAAGAGATGAGGGCAGGACATCAAGGGGGCTAGAGGACATTTTCATTTGACCCAACWATAAAAGAAAGAAATACAAATCACAAATAAAATGAAATGAAAGGCAGCAGATAGAAGAATCTTATAATATCTGACCCCTTTTTTCCCCAAGATTAAAATTCAAACAAAATAATCTACAAATAACAAAAACTAACTAGAAGCACTCTGAGAGTGCAAACCTCCCGCAAGACCAATTTCCCCCATCCTGTAAGAGTTAATGCGCAAAAGCAGAGATGGAAACACATTTGCCGAATAAGTTGTGACATAGTGAACATTTAAGCAGCAGTATGCACGGGATTTCTTCTCGGTGGAGTCCAGTGTGAAAAAAAAAAAAGTCAGACTCGTCACCCGACGTTATTCGTCGTCAAACTGGTGTCAGATTAAGCTCCTAAGTTTTCATCAGTCACATTTCACCATGTAAAACGTCTGTTTTATCCCCTTGTTTGAGTTTGTAAAGGTTTGACTCTCTTTTATAAAGGGCTTCCTGGCTCCCCCCGTCTCCAAACTTTGAGGSCCGGYAGCTCTCTGTTTACAAGCCTAGTAGCGAGAAACTGTTTTGATTGRTTGTTTCGGAAATGTGGTGTGTTTGAGGAAATGGGGAAAAATAAGTTTCATGGTGCAGTCACGCACTTCCTGGTTACAAAACGTTTTGTAAATGTGCATATTATGGGAAAAATTATTCATCATTAAATCTGGTTTTAACATTACTTTTATAAAGTTTTAAGTCTGTGCTGTCCAATCCAGGTCACTTTTTTTTACGGAAGCCCTGTGAAAGCATCACAGCTTTGCCGATCTCAGAGTGTTAAAAGAAAAAAATTGCTATATCCGCATCGTGATCCGGAACATCACCAAAATTTAATGRTGTGTTCCTTGGCCCAGTACCCACATGTGGTAAAAATGTCATGACAATCCGTCAAGTTTTTAGTAATGTCACATTCCACAGACAGAACGACAGATAGACATATGCGACCGAAAACATTACCTCGCCCTTGGCGGAGGTAATAATTAGCTTATTTGTTTATTGTGGTGTTTTTATTTCAGGTCTGAAGAGAGCAGGCCACCGGCTGCACAGCGACATGTTCTTCGACACTCTGAAGGTGAACTGTAGCGTGGCCGCAAAAGACATCCTGGAGAGAGCCGTGCAGAGGCAGATAAACCTGCGAGTCTTCTCCGAGGGAGTGGTGGGTGCTAACATGTTTGTTGGTTGTTCTGTATMGGTGATTAACTCAGGTTTAGTCAGTGAGGTAATAAGCAGTTTGGAGCCCTGATGTCACGAGTTTCAACATGTTTGTTTTTCTTTGCTTATTTGAACATCAAGTTCAAACGGTTTTAAACAGCAGTGTTACGTTAATATTTTTACATAAAAAGAACATATTAAAATAAAAAATATGTAACTTTATAACTTTTTGGTTAAAATATTCATATTCCCTCTTCCTCACATRCAGCTGGGCGTCTCTCTGGACGAGACGGTGACAGAGAGGGACTTGGACGATCTGCTCTGGGTCTTCGGCTGTGAATCTTCAGCTGTATGTGTGTCGCCGCCGTTAATGTTTACACCGCCGTTGAACTCTCCAACCGTGATCGCTTTGAAAGTGAGAGCAGTCGCTCGGTTTTATGTTTGACATTTGCAGGAGCTGATTGCTGAAAAGATGGGCGAGCGAGTGAAGGGGATTATGGGAAGTCCTTTCAAGAGGACGAGCAAGTTCCTCACACACCAGGTCTTCAACAGGTTGGTTTCCTGGTGCACAAAATGATGATATGGCTTTCTGCAGTTTTTTTAAGAGTTCCGTAATAGGAGCTGTAAAGACCCAATTTAGTTTCTAAAAGCGGAACAGATAATCTTTATTGCAGCCATAAAGTCTGAGTCTGTTATTAAACACAATCATTGAAGTAATGGGTGTTTAGTCAGGCATCCTAATAAGGCTGAAATGTAGCTTTAACTCATATTTGTTGCCTCAGTTAAAMATCTGGTGTTGATGTCATTCTGCAGTTACCACTCAGAGACCAACATTGTTCGGTACATGAAGCGTCTGGAGAACAAGGACATTTCTCTGGTGCACAGCATGATACCACTGGTTCGTGCATTCTTTACTTAATGCTTGAATACTAATACACCTCATGTTAGAATAATATAATAATAAAGTTTTTTTGTCTATAAGGGCTCCTGCACCATGAAGCTAAACAGTTCATCTGAGCTCATGGTGAGTAAATGAGCTAACTGTTAAAGGGATCATTAAAGGGATAGTTGCAACATTAGACTTTATTTGATAAACATACATTTTAACTGTAAAATAAAGACTGGAAAAATACTGTAGGCTATTTAGTTTGTAAATTTTTTAAAATATATTTTAACACGGACGGAGCCATTTTATTTACACACAAAGCATTCTGGGTAAATGATGACTTGGACAGGTCCTCGGTGCGAGGCTGCTAGTGAGCTATATCCACCCTGAAGGTTAATCTTGGACAATATCTGACGATCGGCAATTTTAAATGAAACCAGAGAGCGTTGACAGAGAGGAGAAGGTAGAAATGACTCAGCCTGTAACTGAAAATATGGATGGAGGACAACAGAGCTGCTTCATGGAAGAAGAACCTCAGCTTAGCCTGTTAGCTTTAGCGTTAGTGCTAGCTTGACAAATTAACAAGCTAAACTGAAGTCCTCCATCCATATTTTCAGTTCCAGGCTGAGTCATTTCTACCTTCTCCTCTCAGTCAACGCTCTCTGGTTTCATTTAAAATTGCCGATCGTCAGATATTGTCCAAGATTAACCTTCAGGGTGGATATAGCTCGCTAGCAGCCTCGCACCGAGGACCTATCCACGTCATCATTTACCCAGAGTGCTTTGCATGTAAATAAAATGGCCCCGTCCGTGTAATATTTTTAAACTTTTAGTTTAAAAAATGATAAAAACTAAACATCCTACAGTATTTTTACAGTCTTTATTTTACAGTTAAAATAAATGTTTATCAAATAAAGTCTAATGTTACAACTAATCGTGATCCCTTTAGCACAATGTGGTGTTAGACGGGTTTGTCCTCTGTCTGACTGTTGTCTGCCTTCAGCCAATCACTTGGAGGGAGTTTGCCAACATCCACCCGTTTGTGCCTCTGGACCAGGCAGAGGGCTACCAGAAGCTTTTCAGGCAGCTGGAGAAGGATCTGTGCGAGGTGACGGGCTACGACAAGATCTCCTTCCAGCCCAACAGGTGACGTCGCAAACAGTTACACCAGGCTGCTGGTACTGTTACAGTTCTTTAAACGATGCTTATCCTTGATAAAAGCAATTATCCAGTGTATACCTGCATGTCTTTTTGTATGTGATAAACAAAAGAATGATTTGCTAATGAGACAAATGTAAATCTTTTTATCGAGCCACTTATCAGTAGCTTGAGGTTAATAGTCACGTTAGGACCCTTCAATACAAGTCCCATGAGCTGGTTTTATCTTTTCAGCCACTGACCAAGAGTTAAATGTCAGAGACTAAATTTCTTACACTTCCAGGTTTGATCTGATAAAGTCCACACCTACCTCTGCTGCTATCAGCAGCATTGGCCAACAGTTATCAGGCAGCAAGGTTTTTCATCCTGTCTGCCTCTGCTCTTTTGATATTCTAGACCGGTCTTTGGACTCTGATGGGGTTAAGTATGCATGCGTGACCCTGGCCTGTTTGGTTTGTTTTCTAGCGGCGCTCAGGGAGAATATGCCGGCCTGGCTGCCATAAAAGCCTACCTGAACTCCAAGGGAGAGGGCTCAAGGAGCGTAAGTGTGCTTAGTTGGAGACATAAAAAAACAAAAACTACACATAAAACAGTCAGAATCTTTTCCTGAGTATTTACTGAAACATAAAGGAGTGTAACATGAAGCCATATTCAGAAGATTATCAGCTTTGCTTTCTGTAAATATAAAAAATGGTGAGCTGTTAGCAGGGTTTGATTTCTTCAGACTGAACCAGGGTTAATGTTGCTACACTTAGATAAGATAATCAGTCCTGACTGCTGTTTACTATAAGATTGGACAAAGGTGAAAGTGGATTTATTAGAGAGGTAGCTTCACAAATTTAGCATTTTTTGCCCCTCTAAAACAGAGAAAATTGTGACCTGTATATATAAACCTGAGCTTAAAATGATTTTGTATTAGATGAACCAATTAAAATGTCAAATTAATACAGGTTTTGACCCGTTACGTTTTTACAGCATATTATCACCGATACTAATAGAGGTTAATATGGGTCATAGACGCGCAAATAGTCGTCATCCAAGTTCCTGAATGTCAACAGGTCACTTTGACATAACAATATTTTTCCGATTTGATTGTTGAAAATGCTTTCGGTATCCTGACACGCTGATTGGCTGAAGACGGGACGAGAGGCGATAAAGACGCCACCTCAGATTAACAAACAGCTGACTCAATGATTTTTTTCTTCTTCCTGTCTCTCTCTGTGTAATTTGGCCTTTGTTTTTGATTGCTTCTTCATAAGCACAATCTTAGATAATGGGTTGATCCCTGGCAAGAGTCAAGGTCCAGACTGTGCAAACAAAGGGGCTGAAAGCAGTCGGGACCCAACCATAGGCTACCCGCTTTTAAGATTCCATATTTGGAGGTTTTAAGACTTTCACAGAGCTGAAAGTTGGCCGGCGTTGGCCTGTCCTGCGTGACCAAGTTGCAAAATACCAGACGTGTCGTCCTAATAAGGGATAAAATCAATTAGTGGCCAACGGGCAGGTTATTCATTAGTACCAGAGGTGGCTGTTGAGCAAAAACAAGCCTCCAAAAATTTCCATTTTCTTGGTTTAAAAGAAATGTTTAATGAATTAWTCTGCTGCAACTTTCTAATAGTTTGAATCAAGGGCGTAACTTTGTGCTGAAAGTTGGTGGGGACGCACCGTGGGGGACGGGGTCTGACGCACCCACAGTTGTGCGACCAGGTTTTTCTGTTGTTCATGTCTTCAGTGTGTGCTCAGTTTAACTGTCTGCATCCATCAACAACTGAACACCAGATGTTTCTGTTGTGATGCAGTAATACTCAAACCATATTAACTGAAATTATGTTTCACCTTCATTCAACCATGTACTGTACCAGCCTTTTAAACTCACTAAGAAAACAGTTTGATAATAGTTTCATACAGAGACACACAGGTGGAGCACTACAGGTGTGTTGGTTTATTCTCTCACATAAGAAGTCTTATAATAGTATAGGACAGACTGGAGGGTGGTCTGGGGGTCCTCCCCCAGAAAAATAAATTGAATAAATTAGAAGATATTTCCTGATTTTTAATGTATTTTAACAGGTTGTGTTAAAGATACTTTTACCTACATAAATAAACACCAGATTTAATGACTGGAGACAGATTCTTCATTTAACTAGTTGCATCGTCCTGTTTTTAAACTCAGTTATAACTCAAATAATTAAATTAATGTGATAATTTATCCCAAATAAGCTTAGAGAAGGTTTTTACATTTATTTCTAAGATCGATATGTGGATGTTTGGAACTGATTAGAAAGCTAATGATGGATGGATTGACAGATTTATTTACTGACCTTTATTTAACTGGGAAAATCCCAATTATAATATTTCCTTCACACCTGCCCATCACCTTCATCTCTTACATGAGACACTCTGTCCTACCT